CAGATTCATAATATTAGAATATTTTTTTCTTATTTTTCTAATATTATTATTTAATATGTATTATTTGTCCTTAAAATTCTGAATTCTTATTATCCTGCATAACATTGTATCAAAAATATATATGTTGAATATTACTAATTGAAATTGAAAATGAGAAAATCATAATTACAAAATTCAGTTAATAAGTATATAATTTCAATTGCATACATAAAATTAATCGAAAAATAAATAAGAAAGATTTCTGAAACTGAAATTTCTTGTACTCTTTTATATATTTTTTAATTAGAATTGTATTCTTCTAGAATTTTTAAAAATATAAATTTTAAAGTCGATTTATATATATGTACAACTATATACATTATAAAAAAAAGATATACAAATATAAATCTTGAAATATAATTTTTATATATTTATGCAATTCACGTTCGTTTAACCAATTTGACGTATGATTGATATTTTTGATCGAAAGACAATATATTCACATTTAATAAATATTCTAAATACAATTTCTTCGACTGCATTCTAAGAACAATATTTTTCGAATAATTAATTTTATTGCTATCGTTAAATTCCAGAGAACCATATATCATTATCCATCTTTCAGCGAAAGAGACATTAAAAAAAAAAAAAAGAAGAAAATATCGATGAAAAAAATTTGACGATGTTGTTTTTTTTTCTGTCGAAAAAGAATAATCGTCAGTGTTGGACGGAAAAAAATTTTAAGAGCAATGAAGAACGGTGCAACGCGTTTTTCAACGATAGGGGAGAGAGTTTGCGCGGGAAACTCGGCGACCGACCGAGTTTCCGCTTTCTGCTCTCTGTTCCTACGTCCCACATTCTCGATAGAAAAAGTGAGCTGTGCATTGCCCACACCTCGTTTCCATGCCCGGATATTAGAGTTTTATTGTCACGAGACACAATTATGCCTCTTCTGTAAATCGTTTTTGTCGCTCTCTTTCTCTCTCTCTTTGTCCCTGCTACACGTGGAGTTCATCTTTGTCGTTTACACAAATAGCGAATTGTCATAATTTTTCGTTTTCGAATTTCTTTTTGAACAGATATATCAATTCTTTTTTTTTTGATAAAGAATAAATTGTTCTTTTAACGCTTGTGAAGTTTACTTATTTGAATACGAAACGACGATATTTCTTTTTTTTCTAAAGAGAAAAATAGGGATAATTGGCAATATGAAAAAAATTATGAGCTTTTCATTCATGGAATCAATTTAAAAAAATTAATGCGCGAAAAGATTTCAATTTTTCGATATTTTATGATATTTTCGATATGAAATTTATTTATTTGTTTATTTTTTTAATAAATCAATTTTTTTATT